GGGGGGGGGGTTGGGGGGCTGGTTTGAGGGTAGCGTCAAAATAAATTGATTTTTTCAAAAAAAATAATTGTAATTTGAAGTTGGAAGAGAGTTTTGAAAAATGTTTTCCTTAAATTTTTAAGGGAAGTGATTTTCCTTAAATTTGAGTAAAATAAGTTGATTCGGAAAACATTTTCCAAAACATTTAACCCAACCAAACATGAGAAAAATTGAAAAACATTTTTCGAAAAATATTTTCTTTCATACCAAACACACCCTTAGTCTTTATCAGAGAAATGATCAAAATTGTCCTTTATGTTTGAATTAAGAATCAAAGTAATCCTTGTGTTTAACATGGAGCATTAATAGTCCTCCATGTTTTAACAATTGGTAAACTTTTAATATTCTTACAAACAACAGTCTAAATTTTAACGGGGCTTCTCTTTTGCACTTGAGAAAGGTTTCCACCATTGTCAACTAAATCTTCCCTTTCTTTTTCCTCAGATAGTAGCTGTCCATAATTTCACAAGTTCGGTTACCCTATGAAACAAATAAAATCAAAATAAAAAGATTGATATTTGGAGAAGTTTAGTTACATCTGTTGTTTTTGAAGAATATATTATTTCCTTTTTCTTTTTTGTGTATCTCCATTCAATGGAAGTCTGCGGCAAGAGTAAATTTTTTTATTTTTATGAATGCAAAGCAGTCTTTATCGTCATCGAGTCTTCTTTGATGTTCTTTGCGATAGATTGTTTAGACTCGAGGAGGATGCTATGCATATTGGTGTCTTGTTTATCTGAAAGAAAGTTTCTTGCACACAAGGTGCTCGATCAATTGTCTCAGTTATCATTTAGCCTTAGTCCATTCTACTTGCTCCAATTATGACGAATACATTTTAAATATTAGTAAGCTCGAAGAAGCATAGGAGAATTTTGAGAAACATGGAAGTTGAAGAAAAAAAGATTGAGTAAAATTCAATATTCTATCTTTCTTGTTTGCGTGTAATTGGTAAGCTCAAAGAAGCATATACTTCTGTCATAGTATAGAAAAATGTATTTTTTTTTGCGATGTAATGAAATTGATACATAGTATATGTGTTGATGGTGCAAATATACTATACATTCTAAAGATAAAGTATTACACATTGACCAATATAATTTGAAGATGAAATGTACATTTCTTCACTATGATGTGAATAGAATTAAAGCTACTTAGGACAAAACATATTTCATGATAGGTATTTCAATTCATAAAATCTCGAGTCTCTTGTATATACCAACACCAAAAAAATCAAAATTACATCAGATTTGCACTAGAACAACATTAAAATTTTAGCAAAATTTTACCAAAACCACAACAGAGCACCAACAATGCTTCAAAACAACACCAAAAGTTTATCAAAATAACATTAGAATTGCACCTAAACAACACTGACAATGTACCAAAAGAGTTGGACTAATTTCACACTAATACAACACTATGGTTGCATCAACATAACAACAGAAAAGATCCAAAATTGCACATGTATCAAAACAACATTAGAATTACACCAGAAGCGCAATATCAAAATAGCCTCTAAATCAGCATTAGACTTGCACCAACACCACCATCAGAAAGCACCAAAACTGCACTAGAAACAACAATAGAAAATCACTGTAACAGAACCAAAACAGCTCCAAAACTACATGAGAAAAACTTCAAGAATAGATTCCAAAATTGCACCAAAACAGCAACACCATATTTGCACTAAAACAACACTAAAATTGCACCAAAACAGCACCAGATTCGCATAGAAACTACACCAAAAAAGAAAAGAAACTGAAAAGCAATAGAAAAATATAATTTCAACTTGAAAAACACACAATGATCCGATTTTTTTTAAAAATGTATTTTTTTTATAATGTAATTCCATTTTGTTGGGTTTGTTGTGAATTTTCCTAAGAAGAATTTATTTCTTCACCTTGTCCTACTTCTCCCTGTTTTATATTTTCTTGTTGAACTTTAGAACATCTTTGTATAATCGTGTGTGTAATATATATATATATATATATATATATATATATATATATATATATATATATATATATATATATATATATATATATATATATATATATATATATATATATATATATATATATATATATATATATATATATATATATATATATATATATATATATATATATATATATATATATATATATATATATATATATATATATATATATATATATATATATATATATATATATATATATATATATATATATATATATATATATATATATATATATATATATATATATATATATATATATATATATATATATATATATATATATATATATATATATATATATATATATATATATATATATATATATATATATATATATATATATATATATATATATATATATATATATATATATATATATATATATATATATATATATATATATATATATATATATATATATATATATATATATATATATATATATATATATATATATATATATATATATATATATATATATATATATATATATATATATATATATATATATATATATATTAAAGGATGAAATAATTCAAAAATGATGTTAACATGTAGTTTATGACGAACATAAGAAGTAGTTTCCGGCTGCACATCTTTAATTTTGCAAGTCTTTTTGTCGTGATAAGACTTGTGACAAGTATTACAATCT